CATGTATACCTCTAAACTCAGTCTGAACTGAGTTACGAGCATTAGAAGTTTGATGATTTTCATACTAGATTTGCTTTTTGCGCGCAAAGTTTTGTAAGAAATTGCAACAAACTAGTGAGATTGTATGTGTAAACAAACAATACCATCCATTAAAGGCTCCAGACATCAGTATGGAGCAGAATCAGCGCAATAAAAAAATAGCGCAATATTTTGTTGCAATTTCTTACAAAACTTGCGCACAAAAAGCAAATCTAGTATGAAAATCATCAAACTTCTAATGCTCGTAACTCAGTTCAGACTGAGTTTAGAGGTATACATGCCATTGTAAGTTTGGTTTATTACACTATTTTGTAATCAAAAAACAAAGTTTGATCGATGGCCGCGCGAAAAAAAAAAGACGCCACTTTCCATACAAAATCTGGCATTGCCATTTTATGTATTATTATGAGGCATAAATTGATGATACAATTTTTTTAAATTATAACACGCAGTTTTGTTTTTCCTGCGTACTTTAGAAGTACCAGTTTTGATCATCATTGCACTGTTTTTAGCCAGTCTTTTTTTTATCCCAACTAATATTATAAATGCGAAAGTAACTCTGTCTGTCTGTCTGTCTGTCTGTCTGTCTGTCTGTCTGTCTGTCTGTCTGTTACGCTTTCCCGCTTAAACCTCGCAAACGATTTTGATGAAATTTGGCATAGAGATAGTTTGAGTCCCGGGAAAGAACATAGGATAGTTTTTATCCCGGTTTTTGAAACAGGGACGCGCGCGATAAAGTTTTTCTGTGACAGACAAAATTCCACGCGGGCGAAGCCGCGGGCGGAAAGCTAGTAATATAATAAAGTTCATGTTTATATTTCTTCTTTGTATCAGATTCAACTATTTATGAATATAATTTTTAATATAACAGTATTTTTTGATACTCATTTCAACCTAAGTGGCCTAAAGCTTGCAGTGGCCATAACCATTTAAATACAGCTTTGTGTATTTACGATTCTGCATGATTATTTTAAATGCTTCTATTGTAATGCGTGAATCATAATCTGGTGGATATTGAAACCATTTATCATTATTTTTTAAGTAATTTTATAGAGTTAATTGACACATTCAGCCAAATAATGTAACCTTTAGTTACCAACTGTAATGTACTACTGATCTAATAGTCAAATCAGTACAAAGATGTTTAAATCACGTGATTCCTCATACGATCTCCAATTCTTTTTGGTTTTTAATTTTTATTTTCTCTATTAAGAAAACATACAGCTTACGATATAAATCCCAATATACGCTCCTCAGTTCGACTCACTCTCGTCAACTACGTTCCTCTAATACGCTTCTTCTTTTCACTCCTTGTCATCGTACTGGTTTTCTTTCCAACTCTTTTCTTCTTTGGAATTTTCATTCCATTCGTCTTTGGAACGGTCTCCCTGAAAACGTCAGGCAGGCTCCCAGCAAGTCCACATTTTTAAATTTCATGTGCGCAAACATTTTCTCGATAGTGTTTCATCTTCATAATTTCTGTTCAACCTCCTTTTTTTCCCCTTTTTTTTCCTTCTCTTTTTTTTTCTC